CATCTGAAGCAGCTTCACTTGGACAACAACCAGCTCTCTTCCCTCCCGGGCGACGTCTTCACCGGGTTGAAAGAAGTTGAAGTCATTGACTTACACAGAAACAATCTCACTTCCTTACCACAAGGCATCTTCGCCCAACTGAGCAAACTAAAGCGTTTGAACCTCCGTGAAAACCGCCTTAGAAACCTTCCCCGCGGCATATTCTCCGGTCTCCGGGACCTCGAAGACATCAGATTGGAGGCGAACCTCTTGGAAAGCGTTCCCTCGCAGCTGTTTGCCGGCCTCCGCTCATTGCAATACATCTTCCTGAGCGGGAACAAACTTTCGAGCGTCCCCAACGATCTGCTGTCTGGGGTGAGCCCGTCCCTGCAGGCGCTCGGTCTGGGCGGCAACCGGTTGACAACGCTCCCGGCCGGGCTGTTCCGCCCCGTCAAGTCCGTGTGGTTCCTGGACCTGTCGCTGAACCGCCTGCAGTCGCTGAGCGGCGGCGACTTGGCCGGGCTGGAGAACGTGCAGCGGCTGGAGCTGGCGGGCAACCGGCTGCCCGCGCTGCCGGCCTACGACGCGTCGTGGCCCCGGGTGGCGGCGGTGGGTCTCGAGGCGAACGGCGTCCGGGCGCTGGGCGAGGCGGCGGCGCGCGGCTGGCTGGGCGACGGGAAGGCGAGGAGGCGCGTGCGGCTCAGAGGGAGCCCGTGGCTGCGCTCGCCCGCGATCGCGCTCGCGTCCCTGCGCTGGGCGCTGGACGAGCAGAAGGTGATGGCGGTGGTGGCGCAGTCCCACTGCGAGTGTGGCGCGCTCAAGCGGGGCGTCGCGGAGATCTCCTTCTGCACCGACGCCGCCTGCCCCGGCCCGGCCGCCGACTGGGTGGAGGCCCTGCGCGCCGCCCGGCCTGGCGTCGAGGGCTGAGCGGCCCCCTCTGCCTCTGACTCTGCCTGCCTTGCGTTAGACGCCAAAAAGAAGCTTCCTTTGTATTGTTGTGGCTTTGCAATAAAATACTTTCCCCAACTCTTTCCGATTTATTTATTTCCCTTTCCTTCGGATTTCGCGTTGTTGAGTGAAAACTGCATTTCGATATCGATTGGTTAATTCAATATTAGGGATTCTATAAACGTCAAGTAATAAGGTTATTAGTCCCGTAAGTGTACGGCATGTAGGTGGTGGTGGTCTACCACTAGTTGGTGAGATCCGGCGCAGACCTTCTCCGTCGACCCCCAGGGTTTTCCCTAAACTGATATTTACCACTACGGATTTCTGTAGCACCACTATCTTTATTATCAAGGTCTGGCAAAGATTTTTTCTGCCGATAATACGCCGTTTTTTCGTGCTGCATTACATAATTTTTCTTATACTTCGTATATTATTACTCTTTATATACGTATGTATACAGGAAAGTAAAAACTGGTTGTTTATCATATATATTGCTGCTAAATATTATAATCTCCCTCACTTCTACGCTCAGTCTAGCGTTTTCTGCTGCAGAGAATCCCTTAATATCATATTAAAAATTAAAAAAAGTAGAAATATGTCCGAGAAAACTCGCTCGCTGACCGACTTAAGCTAGAAACTCTTCTGCCTCTGCAGAGGCGATGGAGAAAACTCTTTCAAGTGTGGGGGTCGATAAGTGTTTCTTGTGTCGATTTTCCACATTTCTCGTCGCTTATTCCTCGCAATGCTTTCCTCGATGTTGTCAATATGATGTCAGATAAATAAAAGATAATGCCTTTCTATTCAATGGCATATCTTACTATTATGTTGCAAGGCGGAGAATACCCAAAAAAATTCCGTAAATCGAAACTTCTTTCATTGTTTTGTCAACATGTATCCCTTCAGCTTCTTAGTTGATCTCGTCAGCATCTTAGTTTTGCATGTATTTCGAGAGCCTCTTAGTTTATCATACAAGTATCTCGTCAACCTCTTAGTTGATTCAACATGACGGTGTCCTTAGTCGACATCTTGAAATATCAAAGCCTGTGACATATCGAGACATCACGAGTGTTCAAGCGCCCCGACAAGCAAGCATTTCGGTCTTCCTGGTTATATACAAATAGATGTTTTTACTCACAAATTTAAAAAAATGAAATTGAATAAAACACTCCTCGTTTAGTGTATATTCAAAGAAAAGTGCATTTTTAGACACGCTTAAATGACACAATCATATCAAATGCATTCGTAGAATATTGTTCAAAAATAAACAGTTGTTATTATAAGGTATGTGTTTTTAGAGTGTGTATATGATACTATATTCTATTATTTTTTAAATAATTATACAGTTATAGCAAATAAGTAATTAAATCAAATTTGCCATATAAAGGGAGGAAACAAACAAAAACTCTTGGTCTTTTGGGAGGGGGTCATGGCCCCCATGACCTCTCCTCTGGATCCGCCACTTGAGGTAGTAGACAGGTAGCTACCGTTTCCGAAGGGGTCGACCTTTTGGGAGTGATTGTGTGTCAGCAGTGCGATTATGGGCCATCGGTGCAGTTCTTTTGACTCGGTTTTGGACAACAATGTTTTGTAGATAGCGGCGAAATGGGTTGTTATAAGTTAGTAAGCCAAAAATAATAATCGCTTTCCAGTGTTCCTAATAAAACAAAATAATATCTAAAGAACTTTATGAGTAATGGAACAAAACAATGCGAAGTAAATGAATCACAAGTAATTACCATAATCCCTCGCCTACACACTCGTCCACATTGATATATGGAACATGAATTGGTAACCCGTATGCTGGGAGCTAGGTTAGCAGTGAAGCCAACAAATTGCCCATAACGTCATCTTAATACCATCCTGTTCTGAGACGTTGTAAATGTAAGTCAGATAAGTTTGTATTATCATACCGCCGGCATGCCAAGGCCATGGGCAAGGTAACAAGCTGACAAGAGCTCGCGGGCACTGCGTCCAGGGAAATTGGCGCGAGATTTAAAAGTAAAGATTGTACAAATTGCTCTGTAATAGCATTATGTCATTGTATTCTGACTGATGACAGTCTTTGGAAAAAGTTACTGGACATTTATTAGTACTAAACTACATTAATTCGCTTTTTCTCTTTAAAGCAAAGAAATAATTCATTAAAATGAAATAATATATCATTGATTGATTTGATTGTAATAATATATCAATGAGAATTGTTAATTTCTTTTACATTATTGCAAAATACTATAAATAACTAGATAATTTAATGACACATTCGAAACGAAAACAAGGAAAGAATTCTCCATTCAAACGTATTCGTGCCACATGTCATAGATGTATATAGAAGGTAGAATTTAGTAAGAAAACAAACATGAAATAATAAAAAATAGTAACAAAGAATATACAAATTAATTCTCGGTTATTTGATACAAAAATATAGCCATTATAGTTTCGAATGAAGCCACCATTCGTCGGCCCGCGCCGATCCATGTTGCGCATGCACACCGCTTTCTGGATTGTCAGGGGAAGTGAGTGCGGAGTGAGGGGAAGTTGTAAACGATGGAGTCATTTATTTGAAAATTTGGAAATTGTCCCACGGGCTTCATATAAAGTTCCCCCATTAAAATATCGGTTTGAAATTCATGGAGCAATGACATCAGACACATAGATTGTAGAAAATCAATTTTCAAGAAAATCGGCTGAACGGTTTAGCCGCTAACGTTGTTTTCAGATGGACTGTCTGACGTTTAGCCGTCATTAGATTTTTCCATATAAGTCCCACAAAACCTGGATTTTGGCTACACCATGTGTTAGAGCATTTGGTTCTGAATTAACTAGACGTTGCCATTTTTTCGTTACCAGGGCCATGTAATAAGATTGTTTCCGCCACAAATTCACATTTTTTTTATATTATATAAGTATCTATCTACTCTGTAGAGAGAAAGTAAAATAATCACAAAGCGTCTTATGATTTCTCCAGCAAATAATCTATGAATGGTTTTATTTTACTTTTCGAAATGATCTACACATACGTATTATTTAACATGTGGTATGATATAACGTGATAACGTATTTCTTGTAACTGAAAGACTGTGTCTTATGGCTCCTAAATATTTTCTTTTGTTACAAATTCATTATGTGGTAGTGGATTTTGTTATTTAGAGTTTGATCGATTGCCACCTTTGAATTAAGTGTTGGCCGTGTAGGTACTCCAACTATTGTAAGCTGAATGAATAGAGAAACTACTCTTTCTCGCAAGATTCAACCAGAAAATCAATGGATAATTCTTAGGAATCGTACAATGAATTTAAAAGAACGATTACTGACTTTATTTAAAGTTATTTCTAATTTTATAAGATCGTGGTATCTATAAGTATCCGTCGTGGAGGCTTGTACATGCAACAAGATAATTTTCAGAATAAGATCGATAGAATCAGTTCGATCAGAGATTACCCATTTTCGAAAAAAACGGTCTGCGCTTTAGATTCTAATGTTCCTCTTTCTTGTTCTATCCTCACCTCTTATTCACACCAACACTGACATGCACTACCCTACCACACATGCCAGGAGACAGGTCGGGAGCTTAGAGCTTGTCCAGGATCTCGCCGAATCTCGCCATACAGCGGAGGAAAGATCACCGCCATGTCCCGAGCATAACATACACTACACTTACTGGACTAATGACTATGGTAGTTGACGTGCACGGAATCACTAACAATCAAAAGTTAACAGATTATTTGCAACATATATTGAATCTGCTGTCTGGACACAGTCGCCAGTTGGGGCGTAGGCTTCCGCGGCCGGAGTCAGAAGCAACGTTGGCCCCTGTGCCTGGGACGCGGCGTCGCCCTGACAGCCAAGTCGTATTTGTCCCCAGCTGCTTTCCCTAGACAGTAGAACCCCGTTATTCCGAAGTAATTGGAGAGGTTCTATTTGGAGTCAGAAATGTTCGGATTATCTGAAAAAATGTGCCGTACATCTACAAATAGATCTGAAGGGTTACCAGACAAAATGCAACGTAGTGTGCGATGTGAGAAAATGACAAAGTAGCGTAGCGATCGCACCATCACATTATCAAGTCGCATCGCCAAGCAGATTCGGTTTCGTATGGCAAAAGAAGATTACCGATTGCAAATTCCTCGAAGTGAAAATTCCTGATACATATTCCTGTGACCTACGCCGTAATAGCCATTGAAATAAACGTTTCATTTCGACAACTTGTGTTTTAATAATTAGTTGTTCAGTTCTACAGTAATTATAAAATCCTTTCTTTACACTACAAATATGCGTTTTATTTATTTTGTTTATTTATTTTTTCCTCCATTACGGATTTTGTTTAGATTATCCGAAATTTCAAATTCACGGGGTTCGGATTAGCGGGGTTCTACTGTACGTCCTAGTTGAAAATGGAAATCCCTCAGTAATCGAATTCCAGATCGCCCCCCGAAGAAATGCTGTGCTCAGAAAAGCTTTCAATTTCGCGATATCACAAGCAATTTTCCAGTTACAGAACAAAGTTCTTGTAGAACTATGCACGTTCGCGAGAAAACCTGGATTATTTCGAAGACATTCATTTAGATTCCTGTTGCACTTTTCTTCGTGATTTCATTTTTCTCTATTGTGGAATACTTTTGTCAGACGAATTGAGATGTTCGCCTCAACTACATTGAGTTGAAAGTACTGACAACTTCAACATAAAAATATCTCTGATACCATACGTCAGGCCTCTCCATAGGCAAACGAGCTTTCATCTTCGCGATCTTATCAACAGTCATTTTCCAGTTACCGTTCAATGATCTCTTAGAATCTCGTGAGGGCACTTTCGTGAAAACATGAATTACCTCGAAGAATTCATTTAGATTCTTATTGCTCTTTTTTCATGATTTAATTTTTCTCTAATGAGGAACAGTTTTCTCAGTAGAATTAAGACGTCGGTCTCAACTAGATTGAGTATAACAGTGACGTGGTACTGTCCTCGTCAACTTAAAACCATTTCTGATGCCATATATCAGGCCTATCTTTAGGCAAACGAGGTCTCTTTGGTGGGTTAATGACTGTATTTTATACGTTCACTCATTAAGGATGCCAGTTTCGTATGTCTCTTTTCCTCTTGACAGGTAATTACTTCATCTATACTATCTTATTTTTTATAATAGGCTACCTGGGTTTATTAATGCGGTAACATGTTGCGAAGTTTACACAGATTTCAGTTATGTGAATTGCAAATCGGGTTTTGCACAATGACTTTTTAGGATGTAATGATACAAAATGTTCTAATTAGAGGTATTCTTTCCTTGTAACCTTTTCCTTGCAGCGCTTAAATATGTCTTTTTCAGTAAATTACATAATATGAAAATTGAAATCCATTTTTTCATAATTAATTTTAAAAGTGATGTTAAACCATAAAAAATAATACATTTTCAGCCATTTACTTAATCTTACATCACGGAATATGCCTAGTTCATGTTCAATAAACTTCAAAACATTCTTAATTTTGTTTCTTCCTCCAAGCTATAATTTTTTTCTAAATAAGTTATTAAAATTTTTCATTTCAGATTTTTCTTTTATATTTGTGTGAAATGCGTTGTTATAAAAGAAAACACATTGAGAGTCTGCAGTGTTTCCCTATATATTACAAAGTTACACAATGACACCCTATGTGTGGTACAATTCGCGTTTTTGCACAACTTTATTGAACTTGTGAAATACGTCCTCAATCCTCCAATTTATTTATGTATAAATTCTTAATATCAATACTATTTCTTCGTTCTTATCACATCTTTATTTAAATTTAACTGTGACTAGCTCAGGTTTTAATACCAGACGCAACAATACTTGCATTTCACTCAGAGGCGGAATAAATTATATCCTTCTTAGTGAGCCTAAAAATTACAGGTCATGCAAGTACACAGTTGGTTGGTATTATTATAATTTAGGAAAAACTGGAGCTGATGGTTTTCATATCATCTAAACGTTATACCAAAATAATAACAATTGATTTTTAAGAGCAGCGTAAAATTTATCCCCTGTAACTAGTAGTTATTAATAACTTAAATATTCCTTTAGATAATAAAAAAATGGAATATTTTCTTTATAAGATGAAAAATGGAATAGTTTTCTTTATGTGACGGCTAGCATTACTTTAATTAATATTAATGGACACTTAAAGACATTCTTAAACTACACGTTTATGGCCTTGTGTATCTTACTTAAATGTCTTTAAATTTTCTTAAATTTCAAGCATATTCCTTTCGGAGAAATCACGACTACTACAGAATGCCTCCCGAACTTGTGATGTATGTAGCTATATTCTTACTTTGGACCACATCATTGAGTCATGTCCCAAGTTTTCCTTAGAGAGAAAACTCTCTTGGGGGAACTGGTCGTTGGTGCACTGACGTATTTCCCCGCTCAAATCAAGTGGTTACGTTTTGTAAAAGTATTCGTATTATGTCGGAAATTTGAGCTCAAACTAACATATTAATTATTTTTGAACAGTGTTGTATTATATTGTTGTAAAATTCTGGCATTGTAACAATATAGTGCTGTGTTACAGATCTAAATTTATACTTGTGTATTGGATATTGTAATCGGTGTGGTCGCTAATGACCTTGCAGTTGATGCAATCTGAAATCAATTAAAAAAATTATTCTCTCTGCTTCCAAAGTTAGACCAACATAATTCAGCTTGACAAAAAAGGATGCATTATATATTAAAAATACATTAAAATATTCTTCACATTTTCGTTTATTCAGAAATTATGAAGTAAGGCAATGTTCACTAAGCAGCTAACAAGAATTTCTAGAAAAGTAAGAATTTAAATGACAAAACTCAGTGTGATGAATTAGCTTGCTTTCCATGAAAAAGTTTATCAAGACGTGGCGTTAAAGTAGAGACGGCCACTCAAAGTTCTTTGTTTACATGTACGTTTGTTTGACGGAACTTATACCTCGTAGCTACCAAAGCTGAGAAACCTGTCTCGCACAAGTAAGTTATTGCAAAAGGAATCAAAGTCTTTATTGCAATTTGGTTCAGCTTTGAGTATTCCTTGCTAATATGTATTCAGAATTCAAAGAAAGGCACTTAAATTTCTCAAAATCATCGTAAATATATTTTTCGAAGTGGCGTTTTAACATCTTAAGATGAAGAAGAAAACATTTTATTTCCATTAGCAGTACTGGATTATCGGCGTCTTGAAACAGGGACAAAAGAGAAGTAAACATATCTACCGTGTCATTTTCCATCTTATTACGCCACAGCTCTAATTTCTTCATGGAATCCTTTACTTTTTCATTACAAGACAGAACAGGTACCTGATTCCCTTGAAGTGAAGTATTCAGGATATTTAGTTTCTCAAACAAATCAGTGAGGTAACCCATTTTCAAGAGACTATTCCACTCGTGAAATTAATACCAATAATGTTTAACTACACATTCCAAATGCCCGAATCAGGGCGGTATATCTCAAAAAGTTTACAGCTTTTTCTATCCAATTTTTCTTACCGCTTCTCCCTACTGGACAACCATAACCTATCTTAGGAGGCCATATTCATCCATTGCTATGCCGATCTCCAATAAACATTCCAGACATTTCCAGACATTGAGCGAGCTCCATCAGTAAATAGCTCAATGCACGTATTCACCTTTTCACTAAATAAATTATTGATTATTTCAACAAGTCCAAGTTGTTCCCAATATTGACTCACAGAAAATAATTTCCTCCCTTATGTTACACATGTCAACGAAACGAACATAAGCAAAAATTGAGCATCTTTGTGAATGTCAGTCCTTCGTCTATTTGAAGTGCAAACCGGTTAGAACACAATTTGTTATCCACAATTTAATTGCTCCAGTAAATAGTCAGAAATATCTACAACTCTTCTGAAACCGTGTCATTAGAGAGTGGAATACTTGCAAATGTTTCACCTCACATCGTTGACACTATATCGCTGCAGGTAAAATCAGTGCTTCTGCTACTATGTGCGGTTTCTTACGTTTAACAGTGCTATGAGACACTTGGTAACAGGCTCACAGGGTCTTTGAAGTAACATTTGTAGTGTGAGCTAACTTTTCCTAGATACACTTTAACACATTCGGTTTTCTGACAAAAAAATGTTTTGTTTTTTCTGTTAATTCAGGATGTCTGGGTTCAAGATGCCTCTTTAACTTATTAGGCTCCATACTATCAGCAGCTAAAATGATTAAACAAATTACACATTACAGACATTCTTCGCCATTTACCGTAGTTTTTGTGAAACCAAGCGACAAACGCAGCTGGACTACGTCTATTCTCAATAAAAAGAAAATTCTTATTGTTTCCTTCTGAGAAATTGGTTTTTCTCCTTTGGTATTGTAACCTGCGGGTATGTTCTGGATGCGGGATTGCAAGGCAAATGAAACAGACCCGATCTAATAATACATTTAATTAACAATTAAGGTGTTTATGCGAATGAATATGAGGATGGACATGATTAATAGGTTATATAGTATTTGGGTCTAAATAGGCAGGTTCTATTTCTGCCACAATAAATGGCTTGCCGCCTCATTAAAACTACCTCTCTTTCATTGACAGTCTCGCCGGGTTCAGAGCGCGGAAAAGGGCGGGCGGTGACCCCAACTAATGGCACCGATTACGTCCTTACTGG